GTTAAAACTCGTTTGGATGCATTAAACTATTTAACAATGAGTAACTACAACTGAGAGAGTGTTCAATATCAGTATATACTTTTCTTATATAATTATTTACTTTATACACATATTGCAACAATTTCGTACTTATCTCATCATGAAAAACGAAAAACACCGACTCCAAAAACCGAAAAACTATCTGAAATGTATTACTTATCAACATCCGGTGATAGAAATAAAAGCCTTTAAAAACAATCTACGTTATACAACATTCCTACAAATAATTATAGTCATCATTATATTCATGTATATTTTGATATTTTGATATTTAATTCCATTCGAGTGCAAAATTACGTGTGATTCTATTCGAAGTTAGATGCGGACTTAATATGCCCCAAGGGATAAACACTGAACTTTTGAAATGGCATGCTTATTGTATAGAGATGTGGGAGTGAATTTAATTTCGTATCCAGGCATTCATACTCCACGGAATCGACAACTACTTTCGAAAGATCAACCAAAGGCAAATTCAATAGCATTTTAACCACTTGACTGCTATTGGCTTAAAGGTAAAGACCAGTATTGGAAACACCCCAATTTCAAAAAATGAAATGGAAGCTCTTATTACCAATCATGTGAAAGAATATGTTTTGAATATTACATGATGATACAAATTTTGACGGGAAACCGCCTACTAATGATATATTTGGTTAATTAGTGTATCTCTCGCCTGTTGAGAGATATGAAATGCACGTGTCGCGCACTTGTCGCGCACGTGTGTGTAGTCCCATATACATCTTTCTGTGCAGTACGTGCTTCTAACTTTATGAAGACTTGGCCAATTATCATTTTGATGATTCCAGAACCTCGCAGTACATCTATGCTAAATGATATCAACCTTTTCTGATCGATTTCACAACGTTTCTTTCACAATGCGATCGCATGACCATAACTGGTCTTTAACTTTAAAACGCATTCATTCCCCCCTGTGCTACAGCATTTTGGGTAGCAGTCAAGTGGTTAATATTGCGTCAACTCGATGTGCGACGACATTACTACCGCGTAATCCGATTATCTGCAATATGGGAAATTACAATAAGGTACTGGTATTGAGTTGATTTGTCGAAAATAGCCTCGCGGTCGTGTTATATGTAAAATATATATTTCTAATACATAGATGCATACACAGTCAGTGGGCAATGGTGTAGTGTTGGACCAGCCATTGAGGGGGAGAGGGAGGGGCATAGTGTCAGGAGGGAGGGCCCAATAAAAAAAAAACTCCCGAGTTTACCATAAAATGGGAGGATACGAGGCACGGTGAAGGAGAAGAAGGAACGCATCATCTGTGTTTCACGGTGCCCCCTCCTCTATGCTCTCTCCATTTATTTTTAAAAATCTTTCCCCCCCCCCTCTCTCTCTCTCCCTCTTTATATCTTTCAATTTTCACCCCTTACTATAGGTCTTAATATGTTTTTCATTTGATTTGGGGCAACTGCGCCCTCCTCCCCTATCGTGCCCCTTGTAGCTATACATGACGTCATACATGACATCATGACACATGACATAAATACCCTTATAGTATTTTTTCACCTGGCAATTAGAACGTTGTCAAGTTTAGAAGCAAGGAATGTATTTTCTTGCCGAAAGACATACTATAGTGCTTCGACTTGGTTTTTAACTTGACCCCTCGACCCAGAGTTTAAAGGTCAGTCTACAACACTAAGATTGACATGCTTCAGAGTAGTTCAGACGTTATTTTTAGACAAAATAGAGAACATTATGCTGAAACATGATAACTCCAGAAAGGAATTTTTTGTCGGATGTTACTTTTGCCAAGGCTTTATCCATCAAAGTATTTCACTTACAAGGATGGAATAAGACCCTTTTTTCAATTTTGATTTCGAGAATCTATCATTTTAGATTTTGCTCTAAAACCAAACGAATTCCGTTTTCAAATCGTTTTTGAAATTAGGTCATGTTCTAATTGTGAAATCTGTGAACAGAACTAAATATAATTCTAAAATGGTGAAGCGATCATAGTACTCATGCATATTATTTCCTTGTTATACATAATAGAGGTAAATAGTTTAATATTCACAATCTGTACATTCAAATCAACACCTCTATGTGGTTGTAATAAAGCACCACATGCACACACATGACTATATAATCCGACCACCCAAACAACAATCATGTTAATTAAATCGATCCAGTACCGGACTAAAAATCTGGATACTTTGTTCACCTGCTCTGTGTAATTACGATTACCTTGCAAAATACATTCCAACACGTCAGCCACGTAGTTATATATACATATACAATATTTACATTGACAGGCTATACGCCCTGGGCCCCGGCCGTCTCATGAAGATTTACCATCAATCTAAAATCAATCATAAGTCCTACAATCAATCGCAAGTTGCGATCTCCTATGTCTTATGTTCATAGTCGCAATTGATATCAATCGCAAATAAGTTGCACTTGATTTCAACTCTCAACTTTCAAGACGGGGCCTAGGGCAAACATGCACGTGATAAAATGCTACACAATCGACGACTAGCACAAAACTAGACATCAGCTACGTATTTATATACACAATATTTACATTGACAGTCTAGGCCTATATACGCCTGATAGTAGTTATATTACACAAATACAAATTGGAAAAATGCCCCAAAATGCACATTTCTTTGTATCATCTTTGTACAATAAAGTCTACTTCTGTTATATATATATATATATATATATATAAGAAAGCTAATAAAATAGTTTTTTCTCGTTAAAAATTATGTTGAAAATGTTATGTACTGTCAACATTATCGTGGAATACAACACTGAAATCAGTGATACCACGTAGTCAACCACTATCGGTATCATAATTATGGAATTAAGATTTATATTAAAAAAATAATGTTCAAAGCATTGTTACATATTCTGCAAAAATGAACATAAAGTGAATATTCATCAACAACGGTGTAGCTTGAGGAATATGCCTCATATAAATTACTGGTGCCCCAGAAAATGTGAAAAACGAAATTGAAAATGATTATCTCATTCTTAGTTATACAATACTACAACATTCAATATTTTACCCGGTCGCTATAGTTTTTCTCATCATTCTAGAAATGAGCACGTGATTTACCGCGTTCCACATACACTACCAACAACAAAAAACTAAAAAAACAAAACAGTGCTCCCCCTCCCTTCATAAAAGTGGTGACCCTCATTATCCCCGCTGAATTTTTTTTTCTCGCCATGTCGCTGTTAGTAGACTTATAGGCGAGAACACACGTCCTATTATTTTTGTGTTAATATAAAAAAGAATATACTCGCCTCACGTTCATACCAGAGACAATGGTCCTTGTTAAAATTGACCTTCCCTAATTATTCTGGTACCAATCCTTGATGTTAGTTGAGTTACTTTGGACAAGCAACACTATTTCTGTTCAATTTTATTCTACTGCTAGATAAGCATACATATTCATGCACATATAACATAACATTCCGACAATCTATGATACAATACTATAGTAATTAACAACATCATTTTTGAAAATAAAATCATAAAACTAACAACATAATTTCATGGTTCATTTCAATGTTCACGTTTTCCTTAACTCGGGACCCACACTTTGAAAAACAAATCACACAATGTTCACATACTCAAAGAACAACTTCAAGTCCCCGCCCCCCCCCCCCATCCATCCCCTCGCGTGACATCTTCCTAATTCGTAAGCTTGGCATTTTCAGTTTTAAATTGTGTAAATTGATGTGATTCTCCGTGACTCAATTATAATGTTCTTTGAATGACAAATACATATACGGTATGATGCCTAGTTTAACGACATCATTGACGTTTTTTGTTGCGGTCTTGTTTCACGATTATCGTTTCATAAAAGGAACGGAAGTTAACCGCATGAAAGTTTCCGCGTTTCTGAGTATTGTTTTATCTACATTGTGGCCAAACCTGTGGCTGTCACGGGGGCTGTCATCGTTCTGTTCTTTTCTGTTTTGGTTTGGTTTTGTTAAATTGTGCAGTGTTCCTTTTACATTCCACTTAGAGGTTTTTCAAATGACACTTCCGATGTCTTGTTTCATGAGTTGTGCTTTATTTTATTTTATCTTTTGATGTTGTTGGAAGTTTTAATCTTAAGAAGCTGATAAAGTTTCGCATTTCTGAATATTTGTTTCCCGTTTGGTGGAAATCGTTGAACTATAATGGGTATGACTTACAATCCCTACTTTGTTGACAATAAAGAAGAACAAAACCAAACAAACATACAACTTACTACGTCCGTAATAGACCTACTCAAGTTTAAATTCCGATTTTTGTTTTGTTTTCTTTTTCTTCTTTGAGTATAAATCCCACACGCAAGCTTATAAACTTACTTGCGCCGATCTTTATCTTTTTTTATTCAAAGAGAAACACAAGGAAACCACACTTTTACAAAGTGCAGATATCAAGATTAAAAGATTCGATTTTGTTTTACCACAGGCAAACTGACGTGAAAGACACAAAACCGACAACGAACCGAACAAACATAACCTCTCCCAGGCAAGATTTTGCCGTGTATTGGTTGGTTCTGAAATGGTTAGCAAAGTGAGTGGGGTATAAAAACCAGTCACACTATCAAACCGACCAACTCTTGGACATTTATGACCCCAGTAACACCACAGAGACCCACACCAGACGGACACAAGCTAAGTAGATTTTGTAGGTTTTGTATTTTGTCTCTGTGAGTCGTATTGTCTCCGCGTTGGCTGGTTGTAGTACTTTGATATGTATTTATCTACCTAAAAAAACGAATTATTTCGACAGTGTTCTCTATAGAATCTTGTAGTGACGACTATCTTTTTCATAATTTTACACAATCATCGTGTAAAAATCTTTTGGACGCTGCAGTAATTGCACATAACGTACGATAACATTTTCAATCATTGCAATTACCATTTTGACAGTCAACGTTCACTATCAACGCTCGATAAAATTTCCTCTCAAAAGACCACTTCACCATCATTCAATTTCCAGCAGGTTTGATAAACAAAGCATTGGTTTCCCTTCTGAATTTTTCATTGACGCCATAGTAGACAAACACATTGATGATGTGGTTTATCAGACGCATCTGGTACAGGAAGTTGACCGTCCCTTCACCGGCGGTCGTCTGCTGCATCTGCACGATATACCTCCTTGGGAGGTTCTCGAGGATGAGGACCGGTATACAGGAGAAGACATAGATGATGGTGACGATGAACATCATCTTGGTCATTTGGTCTTTTTTGGTACGAGGTTTGGACTTAGGAGCCGGAGCAGACGTGGCGTCAGATGCGACTGGCGCAGGTGTAGCTGGTGATACTTGATTCTTGACATTGAAGTGTCCCTTATTTGAAGAATTCGGGTGATCCAGGGAAGAGGAGATTGCAGGTATGGAAAGATGGTTTTCACCGAAGGCGACACGCGAATGCGCCGGCTCCGAAACGGATCCTTTCTGATTAGATGGACCATCATTTCTGCTTGCATGTCCACCTTCTAGATGGTCACCGTCAACCCCGTTTGTTGTCCCAGGCTCCTTCTGAGGAAAATCTGAATTCCCCATATCTTTCGTTGACACGGTGGAAGCTATACCAGCTTGCATGTAGGCTGTCTTCTCGCGATGGTGTTTTATTTTTCGAAAAATCATAGTGTAGCAGAACGAGCAGCTAATGCAGGCCAGGAGATAGATGAGGATGAGGATCATTCCGTAGGCAGTATTGATCCAAGCCAGACCTTTGTAAACGCAAACTGCCCCGACTGCATTGCCATGGGAAATGAACGGTATGCAAATTATCAAACAGAAAGCATTGCTGGCGACAACCCAAAATGTGCCTTTCTTTCTTGACGTTTTCAGTTTGAAAGGACTGCACACCATGACATACCTATCAATGGCAATAACGCTTGCCAACAGAGCAGATTCGCAAGCAAAAGCTCGACGAAAGAACCAGAAGAGGACGCAGTTAAACCGCGTTCTGAAACTGAGGTTGACAGCCCAAATGATGGCGGCGATGAGCAGGGCACTGCTCAGGAGATCGACGACGGCAAGAGTGATGATAAGGATGTCGGTGGACAGTTTCTGGAGTCTTTTCTGAAACACGCGAATGATGATGGCGTTTCCAATGATGCCTAAAACTCCGCAGACGACAAGATAGGCTACATAACATGCTACCAGCAACTCCATTTCGCTGATTCGCTTTCAAGAGTGCCTCCCACAAGAACATGATAGAGTTTATATAACTAGACAAAAACCCAGGTATGAATCTCCAGCAGTATTCACTGTCACTCGTTTCAGTCGTGAAAATGATACCGCAAGATGAAAGCAAACACACTTGCCTCCCACAAGGGCATGCTAGAGTTTATATAAATAGAAAACCATTAAGCAAACCATTCTAAAAAAAAAAAAATCGAAAAATCAGAGAATCAGACTGGTGACAGTTTTAACTACAAATAGGACAGATATGAAATTTTGAAACTAGTAATCATTAAACGTATGGGCCCCTCAGATTGACTGTGTAGGTTATGTCACTGTATGACGAAGTGCCAGACAACTTTTTTATTTGTTGAACACACGATCAACACACGTTATAACCTAAATGTTATTTATTTCAAAATCTATGTGTCAGGATAATTATCTTTTTTTCCTATGTAGAGAACATTTAAGAATCATGTTACTCCCCTAACTCTCTCACCATTGGTTCGATTTATTTCACACTTTTGTCATTCTGTTTCTCGGCTTATTTTTCCTCTTTCATACAAATGAAATTATTTTAAAGTATAATGCCCTTCAAGTGCTCCACTTAAAACTTAAAGGGCGTGTAGATTTAGATTCACTTGTAAAGCTAATGATGATGTGTCCTGGTTGGTATTACCTTGACAAATGTTTATCTAGATAGACGGTGCTATAGACATGCCTATTATTATTATGGTTTAGCTGCTTCATTAGTCTTGACAAACGCATCGACGAATCAGTAATGCCATTAGCGCATTACATATATAGAAATACACTCCCAAGACCCCAACAAATCATAAGCCATTATAATTCGTAGGAGCTGAAGGCGATCGATGTTTATTTCTTTCTGCTTCATGCAGAGGGCGGTTTTAAATGGCAATCAGTACTTCCGGGATTTTCTCACCAAGTTTCAACGAATCGTTGATAACTTGGCACAATTCTCAACGGACTGCGGTCAGAAATGAGAAAGGCAAATCAGGCATATGCTAAAGAGCATAATGACTAAACGAATAGGATGCACGGCTGAATCTGCGGTAAATCGATGGGCCCCCAAGGTACATCTCCATCGATGAGATATTAATGCACTTTCTTATTACACTGACAGAACAGGGAACGGGCTAACGAAGAAATGTGCGATTGGCGATTGGCGAAAAGTTGCCAGATGTGGTGATGATGAGCACATTGAAACTTTGTTTCCTTTCGGAATCCTCACCCCCCCCCAAAAAAAAAATAAATAAATAAATAAAAAAATACAGAGTAATTTCATTTTACCCCATAAAGGCACATCTTCCTGCATAAGTGGTAGGGTGGGTACAGACAAATAGCAATGGTGATCATCCCTGGTTATATTTTGCATAGAAAATATAAACCGATTGTACTCCGGGTTGTCGATGTGTGTTTATGTAGGTATGGTACATAAGTTCCTACTTGCTTGATATTGTTTTTTTTTTAAATCCTAGTTTAAAGGTGACCGAATTTACAAGCTGTGCTTTATGGGCCACATTGATGTACACTCTGACTTTGTGACATATTTTAGATACATTCTTAATGTATAATATAATGACATCACTTGTGACTGAACACTATGAGAAATTTCGAATGCGCCTTTTCTAGAAGTAAACGTGATTCCATTATAGAGCAATCCAGAATCACTATGAATATGACGGACAAAGAAAGAGGGCAAAATATACAGTTCCTCATTATACCCTCAACAATTGCTGTGGTAGACAAAGGACTGCTATTATGTAAAAATGTGTAGAACAGGTGAATATGCATGTGACACCAGTTCTACACAGCAGTGAAGGGATGTTCCTTTGTCTACCACAGCAATTGTTGAGGGTGGAATGAGGAACTGTATATTTTGTCCTCTTTCTTTGTCAGTCATGTTCATAGTGAATATCCCTTTTGCGTGCATGATAATAACATATTGCCTTTGCATTGCATCACTAATCTATTAACACGAACTAAACCACTTTCGATAAATCGACCTAGAGCAGTGTCACGTGCGTCACTTATTTAAATGTGCGAACATTAAAAAGACGTATTACGCAATCTGAACATGGTGATTTTTATTTTACCTGACTGCTAAGAAAGCATAAATGCTTGTAAGTAAGCAACCAGACGGCTGACGGCTTTAGGTCCTCTCCGAGAGACCTGGTAATGAGGATTAATGCCTTACCAAAGGACGCTAGCGCATCGCCTTGGTTTCGAACCCGGGTCACCGGATTACGAGACCACTGCTCTACCGACTGAGCTATCGCGCCTCCTCGACATGATTTTTATGAGACACTCAGTATTGAAATTACCCTTTAGTTGATTTTTCGAAAGAAGTTGCGACCAAGTTTGTTGTAAAAGAGTATAGGTAAAACTATTGGCATCAGTAGTTCTATTTCGCTAGAATACTCTTATCTCGTCCTTCTCTAACCCTTAGTGTATACAATTCGTCAGCGGAAAGTACAATGCCATGTCAACACTATTTTCCATATGCGCTCCCCTATAATTAATTACAGTTTAGATTATCAAATCAGTCTTCTTCCTCAAGGGAAAGTCAAATATATAATAATAATTTCTGGTGTAATTCAATTCAATTTAATTCAAGGTTTATTAAAAACATGTGTCGCAGCCCAATGGCTGAATTGGTCAATAACCAGTTATCTAAATGGCGTCTACCCAACGGCTACTACGCCATGGGAAATTATTCTTTAAAAAAATATATAATGGTGTAGAATAGTAGAATTACTTTGGGGCAACTACCCACGTCACATTAACAGTACAATTACGATGGATAACGTTGACAGTCCATTGGGTAATTCTTTAATATCTAAAGTACACCTGATTGCCATAACTACTCCTGTATTAACAGAACACAGTCATGCAATATACCCCACCCCCCCCCCCCCAAAAAAAAAAAAAAAAAAAAAATTATACCAGTATCTTTAATTTTTTAAAGGAAATATAAAGAAAAAAAAATCAAACAGTTTATATTTAACAGTATAACACCGAAGTCAAATAACGTTTTACCACATGGTACGGGGGCATTTTCAGGAAAGGTGAAACAAAAATTTCTTCGATTCCATGTTTGTTTAGTTTTGGTTGACAAGCACCTCTAAAATGCAATAACGTCTTTATTTAAACATGTGACCTGTGCATATTAGGGTTTGAAAAGTCTCAGTATCTCAAAATGTATTGACAGCATTTGAAGACTGCCATCAGCCTGTGATGCACCTAAATCATCGAAACGATTGACGTTGAAACTGATTTCTAAATCAGAGGTTATCGAGCACTGATTCAAAAGTGCCACCGGAATTTTTTTGCACATTTTTGTCAATGTAGTAGTAATGATCTCAGTTCACACTCTGGTTATAAAACTTCCAAACAAATTACATGACAAAAGGCCACGTTAAATGTTTTTTTTTACTTTCAGAAAGATAAAGTGCATTTTAGATGCCCACTCTCAATGTACTCATCTGTCAAAACGTTTCGCCCATTGTCAAAACTGTATGCTTCTGAATATCAAAATGAAAATTAACACCCAACATCGAGGCACTAAAAACATTTCCTTTTTCGTGATCCTTGTGAATGAGATATTCGACACTTTAATATTAAGGATATTTCAAGTGATTAATATTGTGTTAAGTCAGAAAAACAAACTCACAGTTCATCATTAAAGTATCATCTACAGATCATTATACGAGCATAGGTCATGAAGGATTATCATTATCTTCAACTTTTATTATACCATAGGAATGTACTGTTAAAATAAATAAATACTAATTTATTCTTCTTATCGAGTCACTACACAAGTCCCGTCCAGTGGTCCACACAGGCTTTGGCACGGCAATTCACGGCTTCCAGATCATCTTGGGTGCATGGCTCTGGCAGGAGTGGGCAAAATCTATCACCGTTTAGTTTCGAGCAGTTCCAAAGCCAAACAATGCATTGGTTTCTCTTCTAAAGTTGTTATTGACGCCGTAGTAGACGAATATATTGTTGATGTGGTTGAAGAGACGCAGTTGATATAGTAAGTTGACTGTCGCTTCCCCAAGAGAAGAACTCTGCATCCTGATGAGTTGTCTAGTTGGGATATTCTCAAGTGTTAGCACAGGTATAGTGGTAAAGATATAAATTACAAATATGATAAACATCATTTTGGTCATCTTGTCCTTCTTCTTCCGAGGTTTGAATGTAGCAACCTTGCCCGACGTAGCTCCATGTGTTGCTTGTACCGCTGGTGATACTTTATTCTTCACACCGACATGACCCCTGTCGGTATGCATCTTTTTCGAGTCCAAGTTTTCAGTCAGGGAGGACACTTCGCCTGTCATTCCATCATCGTCCAAAACCATTTGCGAGCGCAGCGCGTCCTCCCTGTCTTCTAGCCTCGTATGGCGGTCTTGCAAATCAAATTGACCAGGAATGCCCGATGAATGTCCTAGTTCTTGTGTTTCTTGCATGTGTTGAGGAGCTGTTAGGCATTTATTTATCGTGGACACGGTGCCGGAATTTATACCAGATTGCGTTACATATGCAGTGTCCTTGTTGTGCTTTCTGATCTTAAGGTAAATCATACCGTAGCAAAAGAAGCAGCTAATGACTGCCACGAACAATATACAGAGTGGGACCTTTGAAGATACGAACTTGAGCCAATTTGGTCCAAAATAGGCGCATACTTTCGTGTCGCCAACCCCGACTGCATTGCCGTATAAACCAAAATATATATTCGTCGCGAAAGATAATACGAAAGTCACTACAACTGAGATTTTTGCCACTCTTTTCGATGTCTTCAATTTACATGGACCGCATACAAAGACATATCTATCGAAAGCAATGGCGATTTCAAGAAACCTAGATTCATAAGCAAACATTCGACGAAAGAACCAGAAGAAAGCACAGTTAAAACGAATTCTAAATCCTTCAGTGACGGCCCATGTAACGGGTACCATAAACAGGACACTGATGAGAAGATCGACGGCGGCCAAGGCGATGATCAGTATATCTGTAGACAGTTTCGTTTGTCTTTTTTTGAAAACTCGTATGATGATGGCGTTACCAAGGACGCCGAAGACGCAGGAAATTACTAGGTAACTAATGTTGAAGGCAACCAACGATTCCATCTTGCAAACTCGGTTTTAGAAATGTAACTTCCAAAGAACATGCTTCGA